GGTAGAAACCTTCCTGTTCCAGAAGGTTTTTAATTGAAATAATATCAACTGTGGGTCCTGATGGCAATTTTTAGAGCACTGTGTTTTTAATTGTACAGTATTTTAATTGTTTTATCTTTTTAAATTTTTACTGTACAGTGGTGCCCTGCTTGACAATTACCTCGTTAGACGAGGAAATTGCTTAACGCTGAGTATTTTGTGATTGCTATAGTGATCGCAAAACTATGTACGGGGTTTTTTCGTTTAACGACGATTGGTTCCCTGCTTCGGGAACCGATTTTTCGCTTAACGACGATCAAAACAGCTGATCGTCGGGTTTTCAAAATGGCCATCCGATGTGCAAAATGGCTCCCTGCTGTGTTTTAGGACAGATTCCTCGCTATACAGGCACCGGAAACTGGCCGCCCTATGGAGGATCTTCGCTAGACGCTGAGGTATTTCGGCCATTGGAATGCATTGAACAGTTTTTCAATGCATTTCAATGGTTTTTTTACTTTTGCTTGATGACGATTTCGTTCTACAGCGATTTTGCTGGAACAGATTATCCTCGTCAAGCGAGGCACTACTGTATTTAAATTGTTGTAAGCTGCCCAGATACCTTTGGGTAGTGTGGGCAGCATATAAATTAAATAAATAAATGCTGTAATTAAACATGGGTAAATTTGTGAAGTTTAGTATTCTTGGAAATTTACAGTACTCATAAATTGATAATCTCTTAGCATCACAGAAGATGAAGCTAAGGATGTCCATCGGAGTTTGAAAATGGCAGCTGGAATTTTCAGACACTTAAAGGTAAAAATAATCTCTTTTTTTCCCAAAGAAAGCTTTATTTTCCCTCTGTTTAAATCATTTATTTATACTTTAGTTTTTTATTTGTTCCACACAACTCATTTTGTTGGTATTTCAGGTAGATGGTGTAAATCCACTGTTTCCACTAAGCTGTGCACATTGGTGCTGCACAGTCACGCCAGCCTTGCCACCCAATCACTTCCAGTAACAGGGTCTGGGAGCAGCAACAGAGAAGGCCCTCTCGCATGTCCTCAACAAACACACCTGTGAAGGTGGCAGGACTGAGAGAAAGTCCTCCCCTTGATTATCTTAATGCCTGGGCAGACTCATAGAGGGAGATGTAGTCAAGTCTGGGAGGAGCATACTTCAGGTGCTTCTTTAATGTTGAGGCTAGATCAAAGCAAAGTGCCTCTTCTGGCTGCTATCAAATATTGATCCATGTGATCCAACAGACTGGGTGGAGCCTATAACAGTAGTCCTGCTTGTTTGCCCCAAATGCAAAAAAATGCTTTTCTGCTTCTGAAGAGAGAAGGGCTTTTATAAAGTACGACTTCATAAATCCTCAGATATTTCACTTCTATGCTTATGCGCTTGAACGTATTATCCATTGTATTTTTCCCCCTTAGGAAAACCACATCCCTAAACTGATCACTCCTGTAGAAAAAGGAAGAGATTTAGAAGCACGGTTGATAGATTGCTATATTATCCAATGCCAAGCTGAAGCTCAAGAAGGTACCTAATACTTTTTAATGGTCCTTTTTTTGGTGGATTTCTTTAGCTGTTCTGCTGAAGAAGTCGAGAGTGGAATGTTGTTTGTTACAAGTATTTGGAATTTCACCTTACCCAAGGGAATGCAGCATTAATCAGTCAGTTACATTAATGAAAAAGAAAAAAGTCCATCTGCTTCAGGGATTTTCAGAACCAAAAAGTTGTTATATACTATTTCTGTACTTGGCCTTTTTGTTCATTATTGCCTACTCTGACATTCAGCATCTTTCTAAGGTTATATAGAGAGGCCTTTCCAATCAACTACTGCCTGTTCCATCCAATTAAATATATTTGGGATCGAACCTGGAGCATTCTGTACTATGTCACTGAGATACTGAAATGCCCTAGCATTGAGCTGCAGTATCTCCTCTTAGTAAAAACAAAACAAAACTGGGTATGAAACTATGAGATCATTTCTTTAACATACTTTTCTTTAATATATTAATAAATAAATATTTCCATCCAATGCCACTATATTCAATTATTTGAAATAAAAAGTGAAGTATGTTCCATTTGAGTACGACTTATAGCTAAGTTGTCATCCATATTTGGATAATAAAATCTGTGATTGGGTTACATAATGACTTATTTGTAATTACACTTGTTTTGTGTCTTAGTGACAATTGCCCGAGCGATTGAGCTGAAACATAATCCTGGTCTAATAGCTGCTTTGGCCTATGAAACAGCAAATTTCTATCAAAAAGCAGGTATTTGAAATAATGGTTTCTATGAATGCTTGATGATTCCCTATGTTGTTTAGTCGTTAAGTCGTGTCCAAGTCTTCGTGACTCCATGGACCAGAGCACACCAGGCCCTCTTATCTTCCACTGCCTCCCGGAGTTTGGTCAAATTCGTGTTGGTAGCTTCAATGACACTATCTAATCATCTCGTCCTCTGTCGTCCCTTCTCCTCTTGCCCTCACACTTTCCCAACATCAGGGTCTTTTCCAGGGAGTCTTTTCTTCTCATGAGATGGCCAAAGTACCTGTACTGGAGCCTCAGCTTCAGGATCTGTCCTTCCAGTAAGCACTCAGGGTTGATTTCCTTCAAAATGGATAGGTTTGTTCTCTTTGCGGTCAAGGGGACTCTCAAGAGTCTCCTCCAGCACCACAATTCAAAAGCATCCATTCTTCGGCGGTCAGCCTTCTTTATGGTCCAGCTCTCATTTCCATATATCACTACTGGAAAAACCATAGCTTTCACTATGTGGACCTTTGCCAGCAAGGTGATGTCTCTGCTTTTTAAGATGCTGTCTATGCTTGTCATTGCTTTCCTCCCAAGAAGCAGGCATCTTTTAATTTCATGGCTGCTGTCACTATCTGTTTTAGCCATGAAGAGACTGTTTAGGGCTGATACTAACCACCCCTAAGTGTTTACCTTTCCATTTTACAATGATTTTAGGACAATATTACAATTTAAAATGCGCTTGCTGTGCATCTGTCGTTTGTGGACAGAGGAGTCTTAAAACAACCATGAGTACTAAATATAGTAACCAGAGCCTTTGTGATGAATCAGTCACAGCTACTGCAAATGCAACATATTCAGGAATAGACTACACCTGTAAATGTAATACTGTCTTCTCTTTCTAGATCAACTTTTATCTACTTTGGATCCGGCATACTCAATTAAATGGCGAAAATACCTACAGCTGAAATCATGTTTCTATATGGCCTATGTGAGTATTTCAGAGAGACTTTCAGTGGCCTATCAAATTTTGCAAAAATGGTAATCAGTATTGTGGTTTCTGTTTAAAGAAAGACATTTTGGGAGAATTTTTTTAAAAACATGACTGTTTTGTCTTTTAAAGACTCTTATTCCAGTGTCCTCTGTTTTACAAAGACCAGCCTAGGGGTTTATTTTGTACATGAATGTTTTTTAACAGAACTAGTAATAAACTGTCTCAGCTGAGGATGTATGATGTAATGGAAGAGAGACACTTGTTTTCATACACATTCTTCACTTTCAGTATGCAGTGGATGGGGGGTTGCTCAGAGAGCACTTTGTTTTTGCAGTGGATGTTCCTAGCAGCTACACTTTTCTATCCCACTGTATTGGTCCCTCTTCAATTGCTGTATTAACTTCTGTAGCTATATGCTGGTGTATGAGGCACAGTGGTTAAACTGCTGTGCAGCACCCCAAACTGTGCTTAGGATCTGGGGTTCAACCCCAGGTAGCTGGCTCAAGGTTGACTCAGCCTTCTATCCTTCCAAGGTTGGTAAAATAAGTACCCACTCGCTGGGGGGGGGGGAAGCAATGTGTAGCCTGCATAATCAACTTGTAAACCACCCAGAGAGTGCTTTAAATGCTGTGGGGTGGTATATAAGCAGCACGCTATGCACTTTTTAAAATTTTAGTATGGCTAGGCTGCAACTTAGATATTCCATTATCGCTTTAAATACCAAAGAAACTGGAGAGTATTTCTTGTGTACCTTTACCAAGACATTTGACACATTCTGTCTTTCCTGCAGGCCTATTGCTACCATGGCCAAACCCTCCTGGCCAGTGATAAATGTGGAGAAGCAATTCGGTCATTACAAGAAGCAGAAAAATGTAAGTGTGATGGTTTAATCCTTACTGGTTCCTGCCTTCTGCAAAATAAAAGAATGAATAGCTCTGGATTTCTGCTAGCAAAATGCCGTATGAACATCCAAAGATTTAAGTGCAGACAGAGAGGATCCAATTATAACTTTGAATCTGCTTCATACAGTTCTAGATAATTGCTGTAGTATATTTATCTGTGTTGAGGAGAAATAATAGAGAATTATGTTTAAAATACCAGAACAATAAGCACAGGAGTTGTGATGTTGTTGGTTGTGTTTAGACATCTGTAATGTAGACCATAATAAGGAAAAAGCTAACAAAAATGGAATTGTTAGCTATTAGATACTATATACCAGTGGTCCCCAACTTTTTTGCCTCCACGGACTGGTTTAACATGCGGGCAGGAGGGGGCATCCGTACATGCATGGGAGGGGCTGTGTGTGGGAGGGGCCATGCATGCATGAGAGGGGTTGTGCATGCATCTGCACACGCGGTTTCCTCCTGGCCAGTCCTGTCTGTTCTGATGGACCACGAGGGCTGTCTGTCCGGGGCTTGGAGCAGGCGCCCCCCTCCCTGAGCCCTGCTTAGAGAAATCCTGCAGGTGCCCGAGCAGAGCAAGGAGACCACCATGCTGGCCGTGTCGGGCCATGTGTTTAACCCTTCGTTTCCCCCAACGGAACAGAACTGCCATGTGTTGGATTCGGGAGAAGCTGGTCATGAAACTCAGAAGAAGGACTGGCGTTCTGCCAGTCACAAGCTCCGAGTCTGACCTACCTCGCAGGCTGGTTGTGAGCATAAAGGGGAGAGAAGGCAAGCCCCGTCTGCAGCTTGGAGCTCATGGGAGGAAAAACAGGCCCCCGGTGTCTGTTTTTGGTTTTCCCCAGAGAGGGCGGCTCTTCCGGACTCTTGCGAACAGAGCCAGCCCTCCCGCAAAGGGGAAGA